GAAGTTCATCCAATTTACATCTGTTTCTTTTTAGTTCAAGTAAGGTGCTATTGTTGGATGTTCTTTTATGTTCTGCCTCCAATTCTCTAATTGTACTCTCCAAACTGTTTTGCTGTTCCAGACGAGCCTTTCTCAGCCTAGATGTTATTTCAATTATTTCCCCTCTAATAACTGCTTTTCCAGCCTCCCATAAAGTTGATGGTGATACTTCTCCATTATCATTCAAATTGAAAGTATTCCATTAGATTTTGTTTGATCTCCTTCACCACTTTCTGGTCCGATAAAATTGACACATTAAGCCGCCAATATTTGAAAAAAGATTCTCTTCCCATGTCTATAGTCAATGTTATAGGAGCATGGTCACTTATGGTTATAGTCTCTCTCACAATTCAAGACTTTGTGTATATGTTGTTGTGACACACAAAACAAGTCTATCCTTGAATAGCTACCATGTGGATTAGAATAGAAAGTCACATGCTTCCCTCTGGGGTTGTTGTTTCTCCATGGATCTGTGAGACCCAGCTCTTTAACAACATTGTTCAACACCTTAGATTTTTTGGAAGTTGGTCCTTGTTCTGGTGGCAACCTGTCTAATTTGCCGTTCTGTACAGTATTAAAATCCCCTCCAACTATTATCATGCCTTTTCCATTAGTAGTAATAATCTTAGCTATGTTTAAAAATAAATCCTCGTTCTCTTCATTTGGGGCGTACACGTTCAGTATGGAAATAGCCATGTCTCCAATAGAGCCAATTACCATCACAAATCTTCCCATGTTATCTTTTATCACTTTCTCTGCTGAAAATGGCAAAGATCTATTCATTAGTATGGCCACGCCCCTTCTCTTGCCATATGAAGCATGAAATACTTGGTTTACCCACTCTCTTTTTAGCTTTTGGCTTTCAACCTCGACAAGATGGGTTTCTTGAAGCAACGCAATTGAACATTTTAGTTTCTTTAGTTGGCTCATTATCTTTTTCCTTTTTACGGGGTGGTTTAAACCGTGGACATTATAGGATACAATATTAAACCTACTCATATTGATTTATGTTGAAACCCCTCAGCTTTGCACCTCATATAAATCTAAACAACTGTGCAAAACGACACACAGCGAAAAAGGTAAACAATAAACATCTCCATCAGAACACATAAACAATGACAAAACAACATGACTCCCAAAAGTCCCATAACCAGAGAGGTGTGGCGAATTCTCCCTGGGGAAATAGCACTATGTGCACCTGCAACTTCCAGCTGTTATGTAAAGTTGCTACTTACTCCAAGTGAGTTGTGAATTTGCTCTATATTACCAACATGTTCAGTAGTTTGCACAGGGAGTATATTACTCTAAAAAGCTCTGCTCGTGTTATATGTACATTATGTTAGGCATATCTCTAATTGTCTCACTATGTTTCAGGACCTTCTCCTGGTTTTGTATCTAGTCCTTTTTCTCGTCCTTACCATGGGGATCATGACCGTGAGTTTATTCAGTGACGGCCTGTGGGTCTGGCCCTGTGGTGTGAGGCTGACTCCTCTTCTCCTTCTGTCTCGTCACCATTGTCCGACTGCTTTGCGTTCTCAGCCTCTGTAGTTCATCCCTCTCCTCCTCCTGCACATGGATCCCCATGTCCCTCAGCATAGGCGCAGCCTCCGTTAATGTAGTGAATGTCTTACCCCTAGATTCCACCGGGTCCGTCTGCGCCGCGGATTTGGTCCGACCTCCTCTAGCATCATAACCCACCGGGCGCATTCCAGAAGCATTTCAGAAGCGGAGCGTCTTGCCTGCCAGCTCGCAGTTTTTGTTGATTTGGGCATATTTCCTGGACAGGCTACTTTGTACAGACAAAGTTAATAATAACTGTAATATTCCAGTTATAAACGACATGAATCAAAGATGTGTTGCTGTATTTTAGTGGTAAATAAATGCATTCATCATCATAATTATTCTATATATATAATTGACACAGTGCCTGTAAACCGGAGGAGAACGCTGGCATTTCTCCTCTTGAAAGACTACGGAGGGATAGGGTCTGCAAAATTAGTTTGTGTGTGTGTGTATATATATATATATATATACATATGCTATATGCTCTGAACGTTCCACTTCCTGCCTGCCCGACATTACCTTACGGCTGCGTCGCGTCAAAAATAGGATTCATCCTAATTTTAGAGGAGCCCTGCGCCGAGCCGCTTCTGGGACGTAACGCGCGCGTGTGGTGGAATAGCACCCATTGACTAGAGTGGCCGCGATCTTTGTGAACGCCGCGGAGCAGCCGTAACGCGACGCAGACGGACCCAGTGGAAATTAGGGGTTAGTCCCTGATACCAGGAAAAGTTTTAGCTGTGCAGGATATGGGGACTGTGCCTTGACGTTCTTGTCCTTTAACTTTTTAATTACGTCCCGCACCTGCTTTCTCTTTTTCTGAACCTCATTCGTGTAATCTTGATTGAAGTAGATGGTCCGTCCCTCATGTGGTCTTTTGTTTCCATGCCTGCTGTATGACCTGCTCTTTCACCCTATAGTCTAGAAAGCGAACAATTATCGCCCTCGGAGGAGCCGTGTTCTCCTTCGGTTTGGCGAGCAGCGAGCGGTGCGCTCTTTCGATGAGAATATCCACCTCCGCCGGCATTTGCAGTGATGAACGAATAAAGCCAGATATAAACCCTATTGTGTCATCTTTCTCAGAGCCCTCGGGTATGCCATGTATCCGCACATTGTTGCGTCTCGACCTTGATTCCAAATCGTCACACTTGGCAGCTAACTTTGCCTCTTGGTGAAGCAGGAAGGCAACCGATTGTTCCAGCCGCGCCGTCCTGTCTTCCGTGTCCCCTAGCCTCTCTTCAGTATTCACCATTCGCTGCTCTAACAAGGCTGTTCTTTCCACCAGTTCTTTAAAGACATTGTCTAGTCGTGCCAGAGCCTTTTTGTTGTCGTTAGCAGCTTCTGTGTGCTCGTTTCTTAGCTTGCGTATCTCCGCCAGTATCACCGAGTCCTCCTCTCCGCTCACACGAGAGAGATGAATATTTGACAAATTGACAAGATAGAAACAAGACCACTTAGAACGGTCACATTTACAGGACCACATGCAAAAGCTAGATGTGCAGAACATGCCGCCCAGCCATCCACTGAGTTGCATAATCAAAATAAAACACACTTAAGAAATCTAAAGCCTTTATATTTACTAAACAGACTTACTTCACCTTTGACCCCTCATAGCCATATCACAAATACGTTTTGGCATTTATATGAAGATTTGTTCACCTCAAGTCCATGCACCACCTGAAGTTATGGACTCATTTATATAGGCATGTTAATTCCTTACATTTAAGCAGATTGGAGAAGGAAATGACATGGAGGAAATAAAAAAAACAATTTACTCCTTAAAAGTGCTAAAAGCCCGGGGCCACATGGGACGTTTATTGCGCATTTCCACTGCAGCGCGTAGCATGGTTGAAGCGTGCCGTGCCAAACCCGGCCCCCTTTTCTTTGCTTTTCCACTGGTGTAGTTCCGGCTCAGGGCTACTTTTTCTCCTTTTCTCTGGCCCTCCAAAATCGAGTTTCTTACCGGGCCAACAACCGGGCTGAATATCCTTTGTTCCTGCGTACGCCATCTTTTCACGTGAACCCTACGTAAAGTTTTATAAATGAGGCCCCTGGACATAGTGGCAAAGACCTTATCTAAAAGACTTGCTTAAACAATAACCAAACGGTCCCGAAGGACACTCATTTCATAATTTCTGACATCTTCTAAATAATATGTGCTCTCCTAGACGCACTAAACAGGATATGTTTATCTTGAGTTTAGATTAAGGAATGGCCTTTGATTGTGTTTAGAAAGAAGTAGAAGAAGATATACTTCATTAATCCCTTACAGGGACATTTCTTTCTCCACTCTGTTATGTTTACACACATTACACACACAGGGGAGGATATACATGCAGAAACACAGAGGATATACATGCACACACACAGAGGATATACATGCACACACACAGAGGATATACATGCAGAAACACAGAGGATATACATGCACACACACAACCCACATGCAGATAGGAGAGGTGGCAGAGAGGCTGCCAGGTAATAGTAATAGTCCTTAATCTATAAAGTTCTTGAAAAAATTAATTTGGAGTGAGATTTATCTCATGGATTAAATCGCTATATTCCAACCATAATACGGGAATCCTTACCTAAACTGGGTAATTGGTAGGGATGTGCTCTTAGTGTTTGCTCAGACAATTTATTTTGAATGTTTATATTCAGCCCACAGACTTATTTTACTAGAGACAATAGAATCGTTTTTTGGGATATAAGAAAAACTGGACTGCCTGAACATTGCAACGACGCGTAGTAGAGATCCCCAAAAAGTCGTCCTTTGGAGCTAATGTTGGCCATTTCAGACAAATTTAGGACCAAATTAAAATTTTGGAAAACAAATGTCTTCGTTCAGTACAATCAATACAGTTAAATGATCTTTCTCCCTCAGTTGTCGTACTTCTTTCAAAATAGACCTTTATATCTGACCAAATTATATTTTACATAACTGGACTCAATTATTTTCCCTTTTTAACTGTAATATTTAAATCCCATAAGATCAGAAAAGTTCCCCTGCGAGGATAAGGCGGGAGGGCAGCAGCCCTACCTGCGTTTGGCTGGATATGGAACAAGAGATCACTATCAAAGTGCTCAAATAAACACTAACACACACACACTGACAAGCAGGGGCTCTTGAAAGTGTACCAGGTCTGCACCCCCCCAATAAATAAATAATAATTCCAGCCAGATTGATCATAGCATAGCACATTAGACAATAATTCAAGCTGCTGTGGCCATATCGTTGAGTTATTTACCCCTCCAACCGTTGGTCAGCACTGTTAAACAATAATAAATCGACCTTGATCCTTGACAAACTCTGCTTTTTTTAGGTTTGATTGGTCAACATATTTATGTCCGTTTATATGTTGTGTCTTTAATTAAACGTTGGGCTCTCTTCCACTCCCCAGGCTCCATGACCGTAAGATGTGCATCGTTGGCCTGAGCGTGCTGATGGAGCTGCCCCACCGGCCCCCAGTGCTGGAGGGGGTCTCTGCCCAGATCCTCCCCTCAGTTCTGCTTCTGTTCCTGGGCCTCAAACACCTCTACGCCTCCCGCCTCGTCAACAAACCAGAGCTGCTGGCCAATGCAGGGGCACAGGACGAAGACCAGAATGGTGAGAAAATAATCAGGACGATTGGAGGATAATGAAGATAACATAAAAGAAGTGTGCAGGACAGGGTTAGAGTATGTACACTAAGTATAACAAGACAGAGAGCAGAGGGAAGAAAACCGATTGGCTCGGTGATGAAGGCTTGTCTACTAATCTTGTAGCACACTGAGCTCAGAGTTTCTCCTGCGGCCGGGTATTTGAAGTACATGGATTTCATCACATTCAACAGAAGCAAAATGACATGTTTTCCTTACAGGGAAAACAATACTTTTTGAACATGAACGAGCAGATTCAGATCGCATTGCGTTTGACTTTGTGTGTAGGAATAAGTGTTTCAATGAGTGAGGTAGTTGTGTTTGTGTTCTGTGAGATGATGTGATGTTAAATGTACCTTTCATTGTAAAATGGCTCTACAGTGACCTAACAGCTGCCAGGCTTTGCTGCCAGTACGGTTCCTGCTAAAAATGAGATAAACATTCGTATCATGCCGTTCCGTGCGCTTGTTTTGTAAAGTAAAGTGTCTGTCGTTGGGTTCAAGAGAGTGAAGTCTGAAGACATAGGGAATTATGAAGGCTGTGATCCAAATGATTGTATGATGTTGTGTATGGACAGAGGAGATTCCCAGTGATGAAGATGAGGTGAGCGAGAACCAGAGCGCCATGCAGCATCAGTCCAGCAGTCAGGCCGGGGAGGAGGAGGAGGAGGAGGAGGAGGACGACGACGACGAAGAGGATTACTGGGATGACGACGGGTTTGAGGGAACGCCCCTGGAGGAGTACAGCACTCCGCTGGACTACGACAACGGAGAGGACGAGTATAGCTTCTTCACCTCCGCCCTGCTAAGTAAGTGAGGGTTTTTTTTATTCTACTAATTCATAAAAAAAAGTATAATTCATAAACACAAAGATGAACACAATTAGTAGAAGCGGGAGGGCTGAAGCATAGCTTATGGGAAGTAGCCCTCCCGTGAATCATCCTAATACAACATTGGCATTATTGCGTCAAAAACGTATAGAAATTAAGGAGTACAAAGAAATAAAGAAAACTGGAGAAAAAATAAATAAAAGTTAGGGCAAGAAAAAAAGAAATGCATATATATATATGAAAACTAGATATAGGGTCATTTTCTGCACATGTCAATAGCAGTTGACTATCTTTTTTGAAAAGGAAAATACTATATATAAATATATACATATGTACACATGTACTTGGCAAATAAACAACAATAATAATATATGCATATAATAATATATGCATATAAACATTGTGAACACTTATTTTCAAGTTACTTTTTTTACATTCATATGTTCACACACACACAAAATATACATAAGCACCATATGTTCAAGTGTATAAGTACACACATGCACTCGTATACACCAATACAAATATTGCAAGGCAATTTCCAGGGCTGAAATAATAATTCAACCCCATAACGATGAAAATAAATAAGAAGGAAACAATTTATAAAAAGCAATGTAGAACATATAAACAAACTGATAAGGTATTATTTCTAAACAAAAAAATGAATACCCAATATTTGTTAGCTGGAGTTATCTGCAGATATAATTTTTTTTTAATTTAGTTTTCAGGTTCAGATACTGCTTAGGGATTTGTCTCCATGCTACATCACACGCGGGTTTGTTTTTACCACAGCTGCTTTTGTCACTGAAACACTTACTATTTATTTGATCTGACATTTCCTGATCCAAACCCACGTGTGTTAGGGATCCAGAATGCTGATGCAGCATGGTACCAGAGTCTGACTGCGCCACTCAGCGACGACCAGAAGAAACAGCTGCAGGAGATCTACAGTGTTTCTCAGCAGAGGAGGAGCACTGCTGCCAAGTGGTGAGGTGCACACACACACACACACACACACACACACACACACACACACACACACACACACACACACCACACACACACACACACACACACACACACACAACACCACACACACACACACACACCACACACACACACACACACACACACACACACACACACACACACACACACACACACACACACACACACACACACACACACACACACCACACACACACACACACACACACACACACACACACACACACACACACACACACACACACACACACACACACACACACACACACACACACACACACACAGAATAGGGTAAAGTGTACATTGTTCTCGTCAGTAGGACAAACATGGACTATTATAAACTAAACAGTGATTTGGGAGTGAAAGCGACCAGCGTCCAGATAATGGCAGAATATCCAATACATTGAAAAGTAATTGAACACAGCATGAAGATCACTGGAATGGAAGATGTAGATGTAGGGCTGATCATCATAATCACGATTGTTTTGGTCAATTTTGATATCACGATTATTAAATACGATTATTCATTGACTTTGAAAACATCCATTTATTGAACTTTAAAAACAATTTGAACAGTATCTTTTTAACAGTTGATTACCCCCTGAACTTTAAAGGTAGGGTAGGTAAGTTTGAGAAACCGGCTCGAGATACACTCTTTGTTATATTCCATGGAATGCTCTTAACATCCCGATAGCAATGAATATCTTAAGTGCTTTGACAAAAAAATCCATACAAAAATATCATCTGTGGAAGCCGTAGTACTGTAAAAAGCACGACCAATCATTTTAGCCGGCCCCGCTAAAATAACTGGATGGCCTACCTGCCTGTCAGCCTTCCATCTGTGCACAAACTTATCTCGTGCCCTCATTGGTCATGTGCGCGTTCGTGTGTGTTGGAGGATGGGCTCTGTAAGGAAGTGGCAGATTTTTTCTGGTTGTGTATTTTCAAATTCTAGAGCACTCGAGCTGGTTTCTCCAAAATTACCTACCCTACATTTAAGTATAATTCAACTGCAAAGTATTCAGTTGAAGCCACATCTTTTTCAACTTCCCCACGGCATTTCTCATATAGGGCAGGCAGTGCAGATCTGGTGAAATGATGCCAAGATGGCATCACGTAAAGCTTGTCCATAGTGTTAACCAGTTGAATGTAGACATATTAGGAACTCATTAACAGTAGAAGCATCAAACACAGCATGACTCATATCTTCAGCATTGTATCACCTGCTGGTCTCAGGTCAGTAAGACTTTGCTTAAACCGGTTGAGATTCTTTTCAAACAAGCTTTCACATTTTTAGAATAATTCAGTAAAACACCATCATTGCAATATACAATCCAAATTCAATCTCCTCAGCTTTGACGATCTCATTCTGTTCTCAAAGATGTGATTGGTTTCCAAGATCAGATATCATGCCACTGCACTTTGAGAAGCTTTGTCCCCACTCGGAGCAGAACAAAAGATCTGCTCTAAACGGAGATTTACCCCGCTGAGGCGCCATCTATTCTAGTCCTTGTTCAATAAATATATAATAATAATGATTAGTGAGCTTAAGAGGTTTTGTGTATTGTGAAATTTGAAAGAACCCAGGATGGCTAAGCTGGGCTAACCATCGGGTATCTAGCCCAAGATTAATCTTGAAATAACAATTATTATCCACAATGTTGACCAATTCCTTTAAAAGTATAAGCACAAACAAACTAAGATTTAGAAACAGAGATGTGTATTTATATTTGTTATTCCATTTGACTTTGAAGCTAAAGAATACACACATATTTTATTTCCATTACTTTTCTGACACCAATTAGTAATTAGGGCTTCAAGCTAGTAGGTAGCATTATTCCAATTTAAAGCAAATTATAGTACTATTAAACAATTCTAAAAAGTTTGATTTTAGTGGGGTTTTACAGTAGGTCAATCTGAGTAGAAATTCTTAGATCTCCCCACATTTTTGTGATGTACCTTTTGTTTACCATTCAACTCAATCTGATGTGTGTTTTCAGATGCTGTGGAGAAAGATGGACGGCAGAATCGGTGTGTGTGTGTGTGTGTGGTGGTGTGTGTGTGTGTGTGTGTGTGTGTGTTGTGTGTGTGTGTGTTGTGTGTGTGTGTGTGTGTGTGTGTGTGTGTGTGTGTGTGTGTGTGTGTGTGTGTGTGTGTGTGTGTGTGTGTGTGTGTGTGTGTGTGTGTGTGTGTGTGTGTGTGTGTGTGTGTGTGTGTGTGTGTGTGTGTGTGTGTGTGTGTGTGTGTGCACTCTACCCATGACTCGCATGAAATGGGAGAGGGATGTTGGTGAAACGGTTTTCAGAGCTCATTTCATAAAAAATAATGTAACATTTAAGTTGTCATTTCTTCCTGTACTCCTTCCCACCTAAACTCAACAGCTTGTTTGGTGTTTTTGCTGTGTAAATGCTTTTAGTCTTAATAAACAACCCAAATGACACCTTTAACTTGTGGTGGAGCTAAATGAGAAGATCCTCACAGTCATTACAATTCATCCTCTTCACCTTTGTCTTTTTGTTACAAAAACATTAAAAAGAATAAAGACACCGTCTGTGTTTTTCTATTCTATGCCATCATGATGCGCAGGGTGTTATTTCTCTTCCTGATTACGGACTCCCTTCAGGCAGCTACGTTAACACAGACCGTATAAAGGTACGTTAACTACGTTTGGTATTGGTCACTGTGATCGCCGGAGTCACTCCGGCAGGAACCGGAGCACTGTGTGAGCAGGGCTCAGTGTCGGAGCGTCGGTGGTCTCGGAGCACTGTGTGAGCAGGGCTCAGTGTCGGAGCAGCAGTGATGTGTAGTGAATGTTTCGCAATATGATTTAATAAATCGTTTAGCCTGCTATCTAGCAGACATTGTCACAAACTCCTAACGTTAGCTTAAGCTTGTGTTTTCTAATTGATTCTTTTCATGGGTACATTGTTACACACTATCACATGTCAATATTGATATGTTTTAAAACCCACATTAAGGCTATAAACAGAGGTGGGATGAGTACTCAGATACTGTACTTAAGTCAAAGTAGAAGTACTCAGATCTTGTACTTAAGTCAAAGTAGAAGTACTCAGATCTTGTACTTGAGTACCAGAGTGTAGGATTACTCTGTTACAAGTAAAAGTCCTGCATTCAGAAAGTACCAAAAGTAAAAGTATTCATTGTGCAGATACACCATTGACCTCTGAACTGTAGTGGAGTAGAAGTATAAAGTAGCAAAACAATTAAATACTCGGGTAAAGTACTAGGTTGCAGTCGAATAGTCCAAAAATCTGCTACTATCGTCTATTCCTATCGTCTATTCCTATCGTCTATCCCTTGACCTCTGTGGGGAAACGTCACGGGGTTAAGGAATAGTGGATAGGAGAATTCAAAAGGATTTAGGAGAAGAGACTGCGGTACTTTAGAGAATCCGATTGCACTTTCACTATCCGACGTGTTTATGATGCGCCAGCGGACGTCATGAATATGCATCTGCTGCTGTGGGAAACTACAGTTTTCTATACAGCGGAGTGATCAGACTACATGGATGTATAATAAGAATGAGGGACTACTGTAAACTCATCTAGAGACTCTGCACCGTGCTCTGATGCTGTTGTTTTATGCTTTATGAACGTGGACAACAGAGAAACATATTCTTCATGACCAAAGTTGGAATTGAAATAAAAAAGGAAAGTGAAACTTATGCTCGTCTCCCTCTCCCTCCGGTCCACATTAATACAAATGATCCCAATACGTATGATTGTATGAAAAGATCTTAAAATCAATACAAATGTATTTATTATAAACGTTAGTCCTTAACATCTATCACTGTGTATATCACCATTCAAACATCTTTTCAAAGTTGAACAAACCCCACACAGCTCAGTAAAGACTGTGAAATGTTGACTTTATTTGATCATTTCAGTAAAAACTAACGTTCATATTTCTCTTTTTGATTATAATACTGATGAACGTTTAAAAAAAAAAGCACTTAAGCAACTTACTACATACGTTTTAAAATGCTTAATAAGCACCGTAACTTTCATGATATCATTTCTCGGTCATAATCGTTTTTTTCCGTGAACGGCCGAATATTCCCTCGCCTTAAATGTTGCGGCCGCAAGGCATTGTGGGGCAGAATTGTCTCTTTTTCTTTCGTAAAGGAAGATCCAGTGTTTCCTAAGCTAAAGGAGGTTATAAAGGAAGTTTGAAACCTCCTTTCCTATCATTTAGACTAGAATTAGAACGGCTCTTATCATGGCTGCTACTGAGGTACTTCCGGGTCATTTCACTCCGTTAGGAAGGTTCCTAAGAGAAACTGACAATTCGACTGCAGCCCTAGTATCTCAAAATTGTACTTTTACTTGAGTAAATGTACTTAGTTACTTTACACCACTGGCTATAAAGATAGAAATGCAAAGAGGCTTACAAATACATTTTCAAAATGCTCAACAGTGCTGCTAAAATTGTAATGTGACTGTTGCACATTTCAAATAAATGGCCTTGGAACCTAAGGGCTGCTGGTTCAAGTCCCGATCGGACCAAAAATATGGAGTGTGGACTTGTAGCTGGAGAGGTGCCAGTTCACTTCCTGCACTGCCAAGGTGTCCTTGAGCAAGGAACCAAACCCCGAACTGCTCCCTGGCCTCTCTAAATGCAACTAAACCTTTGTGTATTTGTACTGTGTGTGTGTATTAAAAAAATGGTATAAACGGAGTGAAAAACTGTCACTCTGAGAGGTTACCTTTTAAAGGTAAAGGTCATCCCGGGGATAGCAACATATACCCGGGCCATGCGATTGGCGGAGGTCATATTTACTGGCCCTTGGAGTGGAATTTTAAAAAGTAAGCTAGTTCCTGACTGTAGTGCCCACTCCTCAGGTTGGCTTCACTTAGGTTATACACTTTAGTTCAATTAGTGACATTCTAAATAAATTGCTCAAATGGAGTTATTTGAGTTGTCCGATGCACTTTATAATTTTACTTTATAAAATACTGATGTGTTTTATTCAAAACCATAGTATGCACACAAGCCTGTTTTGTTGTGTGTGCTTAAATTGATGTTCAATTAGATAATTTAAAACATAGACAATACAAATGATAGTTTGAATATATATAAATAAAGATGAGGATGTCAACAACCTCCCAGGTGAGAGACACTCACACACACTGGATGATACTGATTTAGTATGACATGCATCACACCCCCTCTATCTCTCCCGCTTTTCATGTCATTCCTAATATATATTTTCAAAATGCAGCGCAAAACTTGGATTCGATATTCGTTGGGGTCATTGTGTGTTGAAAAACAAGTGATGCTCCCAGTAAGAGCAAACCAGATGGGATGGCATGGCGCTGCAGAATGTTGTGGTAGCCATGCTGGTTAAGTGTGCCTTGAATTCTGAATAAATCACCAACAGTGTCACCAGCAAAGCCCCCCCACACCATCACACTTCCTCCTCCATGCTTCATGGGGGGAACCACACATCCAGAAACCATCCGCTCACCTTCTCTGCGTCTCACAAAGACACGGAGGTTGGAACCAAAACCTCAGATTTGGACCCATCAGACCAAAGTCCAGATTCCACTGGTCTAATGTCCAGTCCTTGTGTTTCTTGGCCCAAACTATTCTCTTCTTCTTGTTGTTCATCCTCAGTAGTGGACCTTTGCAGCGATTGGACCATGAAGGCCTGATTCACGCAGTCTCCTCTGAACAGTGGATGCTGAGATTGTCTGCTGCTTCAGCTCTGTGATCATTTATGTGGGCTCTAATCTGAGGTGCTTTCATTAGCAGTTTCTGAGTCTGGTAACTCTGATGTATTTATCCTCTGAGCAGAGGTAACTCTTGCTCTTCCTGTCCCGGGGGGGGGGTCCTCATGAGAGCCAGTCTCATCATAGCGTTCGATGGTTTTTGAGACTGCACTTGAGGATACATTCAAAGTTCCTGACATTTTCCTGATCGACTGGCCTTCATTTCTTAAAGTAATGATGTTTCTCTTTACTGAGTTGAGTGGTTCTTGCCATAATATGGATTACAACAGCAGTCAAATAGGGCTTTCCACTGTGCACTAACTCTGCACAACACAACTGATGGTCTCAACACATTAAGAAGGCAAGTCATTCCACAAATGGACTCTTTACAAGGCACACGTGTTCATTGGAAACCATTCCAGGTGACGACCTCATGAAGCTGACTGAGAGAAGCCAAGAGTGTGCAAAGCTGTCATCAAGGCAAAAGGGGCTACTTTGAAGAATATAAAATATAAATCATATTCTGGATTGTTTAACACTTTTTGTTAACTAGATAATTCCATATGTGTTCTTTCATAGTTTTGATGTCTTCAGTATTAATCTACAAAGTGGAAAAAATGTAAGATAAACAAAAACCATTGAATGAGAAGGTGTGTCCAAACTTTTGACTGGTACTGTAAACTACTGCCAATAGGTGGTAACCCATGGATGTATAAAGAGTAGTTATACCGCAAAGTTATTCTCCGTGAGGACTTCCGGCAACAATCTTGATTCTGATTGGCCAGAAGACTCGGAAAAACATCAGCAAAGATGTTTTATTGAGAAGATGATCACTACTTGACAGAAGTTTTCAAAACCGTTTATGGTCTCCGGTACTTCCAGTCCAACGCCTACTGCATGCACAGCGTTAGAACATCGGGCCTTCAAAATAAAAGTTTTACTTTTTTCCAAAAAGAAAATAAAAAATATTTCTTTTTTCAAATTTTGTTTTCTTCACTCACACATCTGCGACCCACTCGAAACGGGTCCGCGACCCACTTTTGGGTCGCGACCCACCAGTTGAGAACCACTGCTTTAGAGTACCCCTCTGCTCATACACTGTTATTTCAAAGTCCATATGACTCATCATCGGGAATACCTAAAACAAAGGAAAAAACTTCCTCCTGTCAAAAATAATCAGCAATGTTAAAAAATCAAGTTACATAGTCATCAAGTCATGCAGGGATCATGCAGAGTCAGACAAAGTTCATGCGCCATGTCTCACAATGGTTCAACTAATATGGCATAGTCAGAAATCCATTGCCAAAAGCATTGCGTGCATCCCAAAATAAAATCACATGTAATTTGTCGGTGGGTCAGGAATTGACAAATCAATTCACATTCATTCAGTCTTTGCAAAGTCTAAGTCAGTCTCGAGATCTCATGTCCTATAGTGCACTTTGTTATTCTACCAGCTGGAGTTTTTACTAGTGACATCATTGTGTTGATGTCAAACAATGCAACACAGTTTTCCCCGTGTTAGCAGCACAATTTTCTTCAGATGTTAAATAAACAAATTATCAATAAACTTCATTAATGTACTGCCCCTAGGAAACACAAAGCCTGACAAATGTTCTTGCAAGGCATCCCCAAGTGATCCTGCGGACATCGGCCTATTTAATTTATTATTTAAAGTGGACCTATCATGCTATATTTGAATAATATAGTGTAGGACCATACCTATATAAGGCATATTTATACCTTTTTTTTTTTCAAAATACCAAACAGATCATGCATTTTAGCCATGCCTCATTTTGCTCAATTTGACATTTTTTAGCTCTGTTTTTGCAAGGGCAGATTCAGTGAGAACAGCACCATCTACAGGCCTGGCATATGTACTACAGCGTCTCCAGCGCTTTCGAACGGCAATGGCCGTGGCTGTCTCCTCCTGATTGGTGGAGTTGGCCCAATAGCCGTAGCGCCACTGTCCTGACGTCAGGACAGTGTTCAAATCTGGATCAGTTTTTATCAGATCCGTTGCAGCCCCTTTTTTAGAGATTTGGGTATGGAGGAAAATAGAGAGGGTTGTGTTTTCTGACACTTGGTGAGTTCCCTGGAACACCGGGGACACATATTCATGTATACAAGACGTACAAAAGTGCATTTTGCATGATAGGTCCCCTTTAAATTAAGTAATAATAATAATAATCCTTTTCATTAATTTGTTTACCCTTAGAAGTGAACATATCTCATAATGTTTCATCAGGATGTTTAATAAAGTTTTAGCCAAACAATCATACCAAACCATTTTACAGTACCAGGTACTGATCATTATTACTGTATCAGATTTAACTGATGATTGAACAAACAAAGCCTTTTTGTTTACGACATGTAAACCACACATTTTCCCAAGTTCAACATCAGCCTTCTTTTCTCTAAAATTACGGTTTAAATAGGAATATTAGAAATGGAACAAATATTCAATCTTCAGAAATGTTCTCATTTAAAAAAACTAAAAACATTTTAATGGCCAAACTATCCTACAATTTAGGATTTTCCAGAGAGGGTTATTTGTGAATATACGACCCTCTGGAGCGTTTGCAGTCAACGGGAGCACAAGAGGTCGAAAACTTTAAAACGTGATTATAGGTCGTAACGGTCGTAACGTAACAATCGCTTAAACAATCTACATATATTTGGTCGTAATAAGGGCTTGAACAATCGACCTATTTGGTCGTATGAGTTGGAGGAATTGTTGCTAGAATGGGTGATCTGTTTGATATTTTGAGCAAAACCATTCATAGACATGTTTTTTATATATTTGAGACTAGATCTATAATATATGCCTAAAATTGTATAATAGTAGACCTTTAAATGTAGGGTAGGTAAGTTTGAGAAACCGGCTCGAGATCGCTAGAATTTGAAAATACACAACCGGAGAAAATCTGCCACTTCCTTATAGAGCCCCTCCTCCAACACACACGAACGCGCACATGACCAATGAGGGCACGAGATAAGTTTGTGCACAGATGGAAGGCTGACAGGCAGGTAGGCCATCCAGTTATTTTAGCCGGGCCGGCTAAAATGATTGGTCGTACTTTTTACAGTATTACGGCTTCCACAGATGACATTTTTTTATGGATTTTTTGTCAAAGCACTTAAGATATTCATTGCTATCGGGGTGTTAAGAGCATTCCATGGAATATAACAAAAAGTGTATCTCGAGCCGGTTTCTCAAACTTACCTACCCTACCTTTAAGGTTTATTTGAACATGAGCAGTGTATGCTTGTATGGCACATACATCCCGAGCAGCATACACAGAGAAAATCAGCCAGGACAGAGTCCCCAAACACTGATCCTCTAGAGTCTAGGCGTTTGAAAGCCTCAGATGTTCATTAACCAAAACAAAATAAAGTAGTTCATTAAACAGGTAATTTTCGGATACCGTCAATCACAGATTCTGGTAAGGCAATATTCAAAATTAGAATTTGAAATCACACTTACCAGTTCTGTAGATCTGTTGGTATCCTGCCGACAACGCCAATTTGTGATGGAAACTCTGGAGCAATGGAGACGAACCTCAGAGAGACACGGGGAGAGCTGGAACTTTGATGGGAAACACTGCTGCATAACAAGATAAAGCACTATAACACCTCTATCAGCTGACGCCAACAGGCAGCAACAGGGAGACAAAACACTGAGAGCAGCCCAAGGTTGCAGGCCTGTGCTCAGTGAGGGCAGAACAAACTGATAAACTCGGTCAAAGGTATGGGACTAGGAAAATATTTCCCCAACACAGTGAGGAATATATTTCTCATGGATTTGCCTGTACATCGAATCATCCACTGCAGTCACAGTGTTTTTTTGCGGCGCAATCCTGTCAAATAATTCCATGAAGCCAGCCCACCTGCAGCGGCTCCAGAGTACCAAACACCCCGAGAGTGTCGGTAAAGCCGAGGACTTTTTCAGACGAAAACTGTCAGAATTCAAGTCATGTCAGACTACACTAAAAACAGCAAAGCAACAGGGGCCAGTAACACTGACCAGGGACCCCCCTGTGGACCCCTCAAAAAAAAAGTTACAATATTACGATTTATTGGAACTAAATCAAATCAGAGACCCGGATGTACAGTGGAGATTAAACTGTTCATTACCTTATATAAAAGTTTATGTTTATTTTACACAATTACTTTATACTGTCTTTGTCTTTTTAACCCGCTTTTATTGTGCCCCTCTCATGAAATAACTGGCCCCAGCCTGGCCCCCCCAGTAAAATTGGTCTAGAACCGCCAATCCTAAGGTTTTGAGTCAATTTGGAGAGGATCTTCAGAGAGGAGTGGACCAAAATCCTTCCTGAGATGTGCACAAACCTGGAGACCAACTACAAGAAGAGTCTGACCTCTGTGCGTCCAACAAGGGTTTCTCCACCAAGTACTAACACATGTTCTGCAAGGGGATCAAATACTTATTTCCCACAGTTAAATGCAAATCAATTTTTATCTTTTGTATAATGTCAATTTCTGGATTTCTTTTCGATATTCTTACTCTGACTGTTAAAAATAAACCTACAATTAAAAATATAGACTGTTAATTTCTTTGTAAGTGGGCAAACTTAAAAAATCTGCAAGGGATCAAATACTTATTTCCTCCACTATATATAAGGAAACTCTCCTGCAGGACTCAAAACAGCCTGTAATTTGTCTCCTTGCTCTGCAGTCACTAGACTCGTGTCGTGTGTCACTATTGACTCGGTGTGCGATAGAAAGGACAAGTGTGTGCCGCAGAGCTTTATTGGTTTTCTGCGCTGATGTTTCTGTTGGCCTGGCAAGTGCTGCTGCGCATGCGTCCGCAGGCGGGTTCTCGGAACTGATGTTGCGTTCTAGTACTGCACATGAAAAATAGTGACTTAATCGTGCATTTTGTCCAATTTCTAGACGTAATAACCTGTCAATAACAAAAGAAAAGGAATACTATACATAGAAAAATCATACGTTCCCAATAATGTTACATTCAGTGTAGCCTATTTAAATGTTTGCCGTTCATCTCCTCGTGTAGAAGTTTTATCAGACTTTTGATACGACAGCATGGTGCTATCTAGGCTCATTCCTCCAGAATAATTATTTTGCACCTTTTTATTCTTGCTGTATGAGAAGATACATGTTTGCATGTTTATATGTCAATACTAATAAGAAACGGCTTTTAAACCGTCTGTCATCTGACAACCGCACAAAGAAATGCAAGTCTACGAGGATTTACAAACTTGTCCCTCTTTTTTCATCTATGGTGTTTTTCAGACACATTTTTAGGTTTTGTCTGTTACCGTAAATTCCTGAACTTTCTCTCAAACGACTGTTTAAATATAAGAAATGATTTCATAAGACAATTAATTATAGAAAATGTTTAAGAAGAAATATCATATATATCTATGTTTATAGACGAATGTGTTTATGAACCAATTAAAGTTAAATAATAGCCACAACGAAATAAAATAACCGAATAGACAGGAGGGCATAGAGAAACCAAGATTCTGGCATTCCCCGACTTCACCTGAAGGCAGCAGAGCTCATCCACAACGTCCTCGCGCTCTGGTCCACACACAGCCGCTCTCTGTCGGCGGGATGGACGTGTTCTCCGGGGCCCCTGGATCCACCCTCAGCACAGCGCTGCAGCGGGACAAGCCAGGCCTGACATGACAGCACCGGGACGGGAGAAGAAGTCCCCCCCGCCGCCACGGCTAACCGTCCGCCCCGAGGCGGTGTTAGCTGTGGGTCGATACGCCCTGCTCGCCGCCGTGTGCGCCGTCTGCTACAGCAGCTCTCTCCACGGAGAGTTGGTGCACGACGATGTGTGGGCTATCATCAACAACCCGGACGTCCGACCCGGCTCCAGCCTCAAGAACGTCTTCAGCAACGACTTCTGGGGCAAGAGGATGGCGGACAACACGAGCCACAAGTCCTACAGACCGCTGTGCATCCTCACCTTCAGGTTAGTTTTCCCAGCTTTGCCATTTCTGTGTTTCCACCTTCACTTCCTAACAATAACACCCAATTTAGTTAAAGCGCAGTGTTAACGACTCGCAGTACATGTCGCTGACGAGCGCCTGCATGATATATAAACACGCTATCAACGCTGACGTCATACAGCTGTCCCCTTGTGAAGAGAAGGGCTTGCAAGCTCTTTATAATTATACAAGCTACACATTTCTTCTGGACACCTTGTTGGAGGAGCTTCACGTGGCATACAAAATACACCGAGTGTGCTGGTCACACTAAAACTCCCAATATGTGTGGTAGTTATATCCTAGAGATGTGTCAGTCATATTGTTATGAGTGAGAGTAGGAGAGCAGCCCCCTGACCACAGTACAACTTTATTCTTTAGGATTGAACCCATTCAGATGACACCTAGCCAACAAATACACGCACTGTTTATGTGGACTTGTTGCACAGCTCTGTAGCTCTATCACTGGTATTAGCAGTGGTGGAAGTACTCTGATGCAGGGACGTGCACAGACATTTTGGGGGGCAGGTGCTCAAGTGAGAAAAAGGGCACTTCCCATAATCATTTATAAAAATCCGCCTATGTACAAATGGTGTTCGTTTTACTACCATGTCTGAATTCATCTATAGATTTAAAGCTAATCTGCATTTAAACACAACATTTCAGGGGAAAATACTGACTTGACGTAAGTTACTATCTGGGGAAGTTGTGAGGTGATGTGTTTTTTTGTTTGATCCTTTTCACCTGCAATGCCTTGGTAACTGCATGCAAATTAGTGCATTTGAATTAAGCCTATAGTTAACGCCTAATTTGCATATCAATGTGGCGATTGTGATGACGTTATTAGATACACATTTTACTGTATTCACCTTTAGTGTCTCCCCTTAACCTGTTAAGCACCAAGCCTGTTTTTCATGTTTCAGGCTCGAAAATGACATGCCCAAAACAAATGACTACAACTTAACTTCTAAAAGGGTTATATGAATAATTTCTTTTATCAAAGCAAGGTTACATCTGTGAGTTGGATGTAGAAGTGTCAGAATCAATATAGATGTTTTTTATTTTAAAGAAAATTCAGATTTTACATAGTAAAAAAACTGTAAATTATAGTGTCCGTCCAAATATTCTTTTTTACAGATAGTGAAAACTACCCTTGGATGATGGGTTAGTAGACTAAAAGCTTTAGGAATCCAAAGTACAACATATAATAAGTACCCTGTATCAAGATTGATGCAAAACAAGTGGCATTTGACCTTTTTAGAGAGGTTTAGCCAAAACCACCCCACCTCTGAGGTGATTTGGGTGAAAATGTTTTTTTTTCCATATCTCTGGCCCCCCTTGGTCAATTTTGATGGTTGACACCTCTTTCTGACCGTTAGAGCCAATAGAATTGAAGGGGGAGGCCCCCACACACACGTTGTGAAGAGAAAAGGTGTGGGCTGCGCGCATGTAATTTTGCGTCAGAGTGGACCTATCTCTAGCTCTGACATTTGGAAACGAAAAAGCAGTTTTATTGCTTATGGATTATCAGAAATCATTTCAAAGAGGACACAGACACATTGGATTAACCTATGGATTAACTGCAGCATCGTTTTAATGCCATTGAAGACCAGTTTTGACCAAGGTAAGCCATGTTAGCGTTTCTAGCTACCTAGCTCCACATGTTATGATGTACGCTTTCGTTTATAGCGTCGCAAATGTTTATCACTGAGTGTTGAGGTGGGCACCCCCAGATTCAGTGTCTCCAGCTGATGCAAAACGAGTGGTTGGCTGTGCATCTAGGATAAGTAATAAGGGAGTTAGGAGTGAGTTAAGTGCAGAGATAGGTTACATTTTTTCGCTCGTGGCTAAATCAGAGGCTGAGTGTTAGCATTGTGGTTTTTTTTTTGGATTTTTTTTTAAAAAAAGATCAGTTAGCTGAGTTTCTTCCCGTTACATGGATATAAAACATTCATAGTTTATTAAATATTAAGATTCCTTAGACGTTGTTTCCTGCAAATGACGTGTTTATCCGCCCGGTACCGGGGGTATGGTGCGTAACAGGTTAAGTACAGTACATTAGCCTGTATGCCCATGATAAATTGCCTTAGCTAAACCTTGAGCTAACTTGTCCATTAGCTAGTAGCCTACCTTAGTTAACTATATTTGTTTTTGTTTTTGTCTTTTAGCTAATTAGCTGTAAACTCGAGGCACTGGCAGTTTAGTAATTTGTTCATCACCACTCACCTTCAAAATAAGCCAAGAAAAGCCGGCATAACATGGGACAGTAAAGTGGGAGGTGCTGCTACCTGTCCGTCTGAAGGGACAGTAAAGTGGGAGGTGCTGCTACCTGTCTGTCTGAAGGGACAGTAAAGTGGGAGGTTAGTGCAAACATCTCGGTTGCAGCAGGACGTTTCTGAATGGTTAGTTGACAAGCTGTTGTCCCTATTTATTTTAAGTTAAAAACCCCTAGTCCAGGCATCCTCAAAGTCCGGATCCGGACCGAACCACAACTGTCTCTGGACTCTGAGCAAATTATACTTTTCATATGTATTATCTGTATTATCTGTGTTATCTGCGAGACATCGCCACAACGCAACGAGTACAAATTCTCCGCTATGTCCACTACAAACAGCGCTCTGCATGTACGACTGTTCCACTCTCTGTGTGTGTCTGTCAACGCATTGGTCCAATCACATTCAGCATCCCGTCAGCGTTTTTTTCCCCCCACCAACAATCTGCGAATCAGAGGCACAGTAGGGCGGGTCTTCGCGGAATGCGGGTGGGAAAAATGCGTGTCTCGTCTCTTTCAACCTGTCTGAGTCAGAGCGAGAGTTTAAAAAAAAAAAAAATCAGAGCGAGAGTTAACAGCTGATCTAGTTGCATCTGTACTGTAGCTAGTAGATTGACCAAAAATAATCGTGATTATGATTTTTGCCATAATCGAGCAGCCCTACATACTGGCAAGTTATATGTTAAAAACTTAAGCCTGATATGGTTTGTCAAAAATTACCTCTTCCACTTTCCCATTTTAAATCCATAATCTGTTAATGTGCAAATATTCTTTCCTTTTGAATTTGAAATGTCTTCTCTTTCAATAATACAATATACATATACATATCAGATATAATATCATGGAATGACAGCTGGATCTTGAACCATTATCATGCTTCACTCTTTCTAAACTATTATAAGCTGGTTGATATTCTGTCGTGTGGAGAGGGAATTGATGTAATACCAATTGTGATGAAACCTGTGAAAATATAATATTTCACTGTTATTCTTCACTGAATGATTAGTTACTAGAAGTTGATAAACAGGGTGTGATTTGGTGTTGGGAATCTTAAACTCGCTCTCAAAGCAAGATGCTCTTTCTTTTGTAATTCATTGCAGTGCGGAAAATGGATCAGGATTCTGTTCAGGATGATGTGACATCACTTCATCGAGGAAATGTAACCCACAGAGCTATAAAGCTGAGCTAATGTATTCGATAAGTTTGACCGTTTTTGTCTTTATATGTTTGAGGTTAATGAGAGAAAAGAAAGAAACCTGCTGTACTAATAATCGATCAGTCTGAATTCTTTGTCTTTATCGCTGATTTTAAACATTCTCACTGTCTGATACAACTCAGATGCAGCTCCCTCCTCAAACGGTGCTGATGATTTCTATCTTTGTGTCTGTCAGGTTGAACATCCTGCTGGGCGGCATGACGCCTCTCTACTTCCACATCATCAACGTGTGTTTGCACTGCGCTGTAACCTGCCTGCTCATGCACACGTGTGAGCGCTGCGTGTTTGAAGACTCACGCCTGGCCTTTGTCACATCACTTCTGTTTGCTGTGCACCCCATCCACACCGAAGCTGTGAGTATTTGATACACATATTTTATCTACTGGCTCAGAGAGTGAGACAAGAACAGAGTTCATTCAAGAGCTGAACCCTTGGGGACCCCTCTTGAACACAATAGAAAGTTACTTCCACAAACAAGCGAAAGCCACGAGTATAAACAAACTAGGGCTGAACGATTAATCGATTTTAAATCGAAATCGCGATTTTAAATGATGCAATTAAAAATCGCAAAGCCTGCGATTCTTTTTACATTTTTTTTTTAACATTTTTTTTCTTTTTTCTTGTGTGTCAGTCATCCACACCAATCAGAAGTGCTTTGCTCCACATGTACCAGCCATTGTTAACCAATCAGAAGTGGCCCATGATAGAAGGTGATAGACAGATTAATCCAATCACCTGCCAAGTATTTTTGAAAGTGCCTGCCCTTTTCCAAATGGCTTCCAATGGAGCTTTCCTAGATGGTTTTGGTGAAACAAACAAAAAATCTGAGTCAGGTTAGTAATGCTCCATCTAGGGCTGCTCAATTTTTGTATTTTTCGTATTTTAATCGCAATTACGATTTTGGCTTGCAACGATTACGAAAACGACGTAATCGAAATAAAACGATTATTATTATTATTTTTTAAATTATTATTATCATTATTTTTATTTTTTTCAGTTGAATTATACTTAAAGTTCAGGGTAATCAACTGTTAAAAACATACTGTTCAAATGTCTTTTTTCAATAAATGGATGTTTTCAAAGTAAATGGATAATTGTTTTTAATAATCGTGATATCAATTATTGACCCAAATAATCGAGATTATGATTTTTGCCATAATCGAGCAGCCCTAGCTCCATCACATGTTTCTATTACAAGGTGAATCTTAAACTGAAGCTTGACTTTAAAGCAACCCAACGGAAGTTTCATGTAAATGTAGTTCTTTCACTCGTAGTTCGGGCTGCGGGGGTGCTAGAGACGGGAGCACGTTGATACGACTGATTTTTGCAAATCGCAATATATGTCAGAAAAATCGCAATTAGATTATTTCCCCAATTTGTGCAGCCCTAAAACAAACGTAACGCGTATAACAATGAGAAATGTGAAAACTCCGGTCTAGCAGGCATGGGGATCGCAGCATAGAGTGACAGGCTCCCGACAGTGAGAACTCAAAGTTTTACTCGAATTACCCAGGAAGCGCTTTACTGCAAGCATATACACGGCGGGCGAAGTAATATGCCTAAAAGGGTTAAGAAAAGTCTCGCACCAACAAAGGAACACAACGAAAAGGAAGAAGGTCAACTGTCACGAGCTAGTACACAGCAAATTACTGGAGTAAAATAATCTGTAGTTGGACAAAAAAAGTGTGAAAGGGTTAGATTTTGGGAGTTTATTTCAAATTTAGACTACCGTTTGGGTTAAGGGGTACTCATTGGCAGAGTTATATTTCGGAGTCAGTCACTGGGTGTTCAGGAGCGTAATACAACACTGCTCAGGTGTACTGTACAGTGTTTCCCCTACCATTGTCTTGGCGGGGCGCTGCGCCCTGCCAACGGAGCCCCGCGCCCCACCTGAAATTCAAGGTGTTTATTTTATTAAAAAAAAAAATCTTTTTAATAAAAAAAAAATATATATATATATATATAGCACCAAATTGCAACTGAAGTAATCTATCTACGGTCACTTTTCACATTAAACATGTGCTCTTTTATTAAATAAACGCCTTTATCCAATGTATGTGCATGTTTCAGTGTCCACTGCTTTGCGTATTCACATTCTCCCTCCGCTCTGTTTCTGAAGGGAACACACACACAAATGCACACACTCACAATCAGAGACAAGAGCGGAGGAAAGGAGGAGAACAACAAAGTGTAAAAAAAGTCAAACAAATCTGCATTATTGCCCCGAGCTCTACTGTCTGCCCGTTTGTGTCCCCCCCCAGTTTCAAATTCGTTTATTATTATTTTTTAACCTCAAGCCGTTATCGTCACGGAGGAGAAGGCACACACAGCCTGCCCAGGTGGACGCGCGCGAACGCGACAACGAACGTAGCGTGAGGCTAATGCAGGATTTGCTAGCTTGATGCTACCGGCATTTAGCGGCAGTGACTCAACAAATTGCCTCTTAAAATGTATCATCAGCAATGTATGACAAGCAGACTGCTTGTTTAATGTTAGACTCACACCAATAGCTCAATATGATCATAACACGATTGCTTTCATATCAGAGATCAGATGAGGTGGAGCTGCCTCCAGCAATAGAGGATGTGGCAGAGAGAAGTGCTGTAGTCAGGTGATTTTAAATGTATCAATGAAAGGAAGAAGTGTAGGCTACATGATAAGAAGGGAATACAGTTTGAATAAAAGTAATACAGTACAGTGTAACACTGTACTGTATTACTTTTTAATGTACAAATACTTTGTTACTGTACAATAACAATAACAATAATCCACAGCTCCTCTCTGCTCCAGAGGATAAAAAAAAAAAAAATTCAAAGCACCCTGCCAAGGCAGTAAACCTAGGGGAAACACTGCTGTATATTCATCAACTGCTCTGCTGCCGCGACCACGAGGCTTCACTTGGACTTCGTCCAGAGGAAGGTAAGAGTGCTGTTTTACATCTCAAACTATATTTCTGTCAGCGTAAAGTTAATGCTTGTTTATTTTCGCTACGACGAACTTTTCCTTTGCATTAAACGTTAGAGTCTGAACGGCTACGACTGTAACGGACGAGTCCCGCGACCTGCATAGAAGGAATATGGACGAGGTGACGCACTTTTCGAGCTAACAGCTAGCTAGTAACATGACAAAGTAAATGGCGTCTTAATCAGTGTTTGAAGTAGCCCGCTTCAAAGTAACGCGTTACAGTAATCAGATTACTTTTGTCTGTAATGCAGTAGTGTAACGCCTTACTGTTGGTTCGGCGGTATTCCCATTACAGTTACTAAGCACGAAATGAGCTTGTTCCTTGCATTACTTTTACGGTCTTCGTCTATCACTATCTGCATAACGGGTAGATAGAAACATAAATCTAAGCTATGCTAACGAATATAAGGAGCTTTTTCTACAACCAGGTGGAAGAGAGCTCTCTCCTGACAGACTGAGAGGTTGTGATAACCTCAGCTCAGTGAGGTAGAGGCACACCTTTATATGATCAATATAGTTATAAAAAAATAAGAGAATAAATGAAAAACAGGTATAAAATACTATAAGACAGTAAAGAAAAGTTGTTATTAATAAACAGGAATACACTTTAAAGGGGGAGTGATTTGTAAAATATCCAAAAAGAAAATCTGCTTATAGTTCTGTTTCATATGGGTGTTGAGAGATGTATCCATAGATCTCTTCATTTTGCTCTCAACGTGCACCAGATTGATGCTTTTAACTTGATGTCTTCACGGCGGAACTGTTAGTACACATGTGAAGTTTGAGCACTTTTTGAACATTTTCATAGGAGTTATAGCGACATCGTCTTTTATGGAAACGGCATATGGTGAGATCTCAGATTTGGAGAGAGAGAGAGAGAGAGAGAGAGAGAGAGAGAGAGAGAGAGAGAGAGAGAGAGAGAGAGAGAGAGAGAGAGAGAGAGAG